ACGTAATTGATATTATTCCTAATTCCATAAAACTCCAATAAGAAACATTGCTGTCGCTTATTCTGAAATATTGTCGAACTAAAACGATTTATTGTAGCCGTATTTTTAAGTACTGGCCCGAAACTTTCTCTTACATTGAACCTTTATGACTTCTGTGACATGCCCCCGAGATATGACACGGCTTCAAAACTACACCTTGTATAATTAGTTGGATTATATCTACCTTGAATAAATATTTCTTATAAGTTTCTGTTTATTACGTTTTCTAAATAGTTTTAGTCGAACTAATATCAGCTTTTGTATTCACGAAGTCATATTTTTTATAAATATAATATGTATATAGATATCAAATATTACCTAATGTATAAAATGTATTGGTTTGTCAAATTATATTTTGTTTGTAACGACTATAAGTTATAAAAGAGTGCGCATAGATTTTTAATGTTCTAGGACCAAATTATAGTAAATTATTTAGGTTATTAGACAAAAATAAATATCTAAATCTATCTGCGATCCAAATATTTTCGGTTTATTAAATTGAGTTCAGTCAAATTGGTAGATATAATATATTGTATAATGTGTAATATATATTTTAGATATAAGTTTAAGCAATGCTTTATTGTGATATATGTAAGATTACGTTGTCCTAACGAGACTGGCTCCAATTACTACTTTAAAATCAAAAGTTATAAAGTATATTTGCAATAATGTGTTTGTTCGTATGGTATGTATATTTTACCCTCGTTAGGAAGACCCTTATACGGAATTTAATATTTCTAGTATCATTTAATTTAAGACGTATGTCCATATAGTATGGTTTAAAATACATAATCGTCAATTTTTTATGTAATTTCTGATATTTCGCGGCTGGTCTCATTGTCATCCTGATGGTTCTTAGTTTATTCGCATACAATAAAACTTTGTTCAATGAATACCCAGTAAAGACATCTTTTCAAATTGAAACGCAGAAGAGACTTCCTATGCGCCTGTTTCACAAAGTCTCGACGTGCCAGATAAAGAATATAGAACGCAATTTGTATGAACTACCTGACACATAACTTATATATAGGTGGTGAGACAGGCGTTATAATATATATATATTTTTTTAATAATGTTGTCCCCGTCTAGTATTGTCTCCTGTGTCGTGTGTACGTTTACAAATATACAAGTTCACATACACATGACACCCAGACCCGGAACAACAATCTGTGGATCACACAAAGAGTTGTTCTGTGCGGGAATCGAACCCGCGACACGTTGCGCGGCAGCCAGTTGCCGTGCAGTCAAAGCTGTATTTTTAATTAATTTTATGAAACCTCTGTACATTTGTTTAATTACATGTTTTATACCCAGAGTCGTGTGATCTCCAAGGCAAACTACGCAAGTGTCTAGGGCGCCACGCTACAGAGTGGCGCCGCGAGGCGCCCATGTACAACTGGCCATAGAGTGACGGTGGCGCCTATGAGGTGCTTGTATATGACGCTCTTTTAAATTCTCCACTGTTACGAAGGCAAAGACTACTATAGTATACTGGCTATAGACAGGCAACTCTACCGTATTTTTTAATATTGAGAAGTTGTCGACATCAACGACATCTAGTTTTTCGTTAAGGGAACTATTTATATAAGTAAATGTATAGCTAGGTGTCATTTGCAGTTGTTGTTATTGTTATATGTATATTGTATGAGACAAAGACTACTATAGTATACTGGCTATACGAAGGTAACACATTTGTCTAATCATTCGTAGCGTGATTGTACGATTGTACGATTCTGATTTTGGCAGGAGTGTCAGTTTTAACATATTATTATATTTTTTTAAGTCAAGATTTTAAGATATTGAGAAAAATTGTCTTCAATAATTATTTTAACAGCCGTGATACAAGACTTGTTCGATCTCTAAAGAATCTAAATAGTTATTTATTGGCATATAATTATGTTGTTTACCTACTCGAGTTACTTTTATTATTGTATTCATACGACTATGTAGTTTGAATTTTTAAAACATTAGTCGCGTAGTTTTTCTTTTCTCACAAACTTAAATACTTTCAACGATATATTGAACGCGAGTCACAGAGTCATAAAAGTTTAGTCCATCTACTTTACCTATAGTTTTATTGAACTTTAAACAATAGCCCTATTTGTTCTTGTAATATTCTGAGTCATTTTAAAATCGATGAATATATTTTCTGATCCTACTAATAAGTCATAACAAAACATGTTTCTGTACAGTTTCCAAGTGATACAGTATATTCATAATATTTGTATGTAAAAACAAACACGCATATCGTAATAATGTGATCTTTTTCTATCAAATGTAGAATTTTATAAAAGGATTCTTGTAAAATGGTATCGTTTTATTTTTCTGTACCTACTTACTTCTGCGAGCGTTCTCGATAGCGATCTCGAAGATAAAAATTAGCTTATGTTTTAGTCTCGACCATAATCTGCCCTTGTGCCCAACTTCATCCGGATCCCCTCAGCCGTTTTGACATGAGTGCAAAGAAACTCCCTCACAAACTGATACATTTATATTAGTAAGGGATAGCCGGTAAACGAGCAGACGGATCACCGAAGCAATCGACACTTGCAGGCGTTACAAGTGCGCTCTCCCACGCTTGAAGTTACTTAGGATACCTACAGGTAAGGACAAAAAGGTTGCACTGAGCGTAGGTACAGAGACAGTAACATTGGTTGGCTACTGAGTCCACGAATGGTTACAGAAGATGTGGCTTCATTATAAAGTATAGTATACTATTTAGAAAATCAATAGCTAGATACTGTCTGTACTGAATCAATATTTATTTTGTTATTTGTGTACTAAACATTACTTAACTTACTTAACTTCTGCGAGCGTTCTCGTGAGATAAAAATTAGCTTATGTTTTATTCTAGACCATAATCTGCCCTTGTTTCCAACTTCATCCGGATCCCCTCAGCCGTTTTGACATTTGAAGTCGGTGCCATAAGTTCCATACAAAATTATTCATTAAAACCTTAATAGGTACCTAATTCACAATTTTGTGGGCATTAAGTTATATCATTATGATATGAGCTTATGGCACCGACTTCTAACCTATCAGTGGGTGGGTAACCTATCAGTACTAACAATACCTAGTTATTTTTTGCTTTTTAGTTTTGACTTTTTGTTTGTTATTAGTTTTTGGTTTTTTGAAGTCGGTTTTTTAAACGCAGTTTTTATTTTATTATTTTATCATTTTCAGTGTAAAGCTACATAATTATACCCGTTTTGTTACTTATAATCTACATAGGTGCAAAGTTCTAATCAATACAAATTATACAAGCCCAAACACAAGGTAGTTACAGTATACCGTTGAGGAGTTCCCTTAACAATTACACTTCTTCATCATCAGACCCTTAATGACAGCCTCACTCTATCCATGTGTAAAGTCCTTATCAATACAAATTAATCAAGCCCAAACACAAGGTACCAGTTACTATAATAATACCGTTGAGGAGTTCCCTCCGGCCGAACGTATAACCTCCTCCTTTTTTGAAGTCGGTTTAAAATCAATAGCTAGACACTGTCTCTGTACTGAATCAATCTTTATTTTGTTATCTGTGTACTAAATACCTACAACTCGGTGTCGAAATAATAGGTACAAGAGACGAAAATGAAAAAAAAAATGAAATGAGGAAAAAATGTATTCTGTTAAATAAGGTACAAAGACAAAGGGTTAATACTTAACAATATAAAATTAAAATCCAGTAAATAACAAACAAAAATACTAACAAATAAGTACCAACATTACGTTACTGAACGAAAATATTTAAAGTTTTCTTCGACATTTTGAAATGACTTTGAAACTTATAAATAAAATTCGCACTGTAGCCTAAAACTAAATATGGAAAAACAAAAAAAAAATCGAATCCACCATTTCATAAAAACAAAAAATATTTCTTATTGTATGTTGGTACAGAAACAATACATCACAAAACATATTACTTTTCTTATAACTACACTCAACATACCTAAATATTCTTACGTACATTAAAAATAAATAACAAAACATATATGTTATAATAACTAACATAAAAAATACCCGTTCCATATTCTTTCTTATACCTACCATACTTCCTAGTTAAAATTTTAAACTTAAAATAAAAACATTGGTTACTTAACTACAACTATATTAAAATACAAATCAAAACTGGTAATAAATTATAATCCTAAACTCGTACTAAAAAAGAAATAAAAAAATTAAACTAACTAGGACACAAAACTAAAAATAATCGTAAGCACGATGATAGAAACTACATTGTTTATGGAAAACCGATAAACGAGCAGAAGGATTAGGTAGGTACCTGATGGTAAGCAATCGGCGTCGCCTATGACACCCGGAACATTAGATGCGTTACAAGTGCGTTACCGGCCCCATTAGGAATTTGAGGATTGTTGGGGTTTCAGGGATTGAGGAAGAGGGGGATAATTGGGCCTCCGGTAACCTTACTCACACGACGAAACTCAACACGCAAGCGTTGTTTCACTGTGCTTTTTTGCTCGGCCGTGGTATTATCCGGTCGACCCTACCCATTCGTGCCGAAGCATAACAGTCCCATACTTGAACATTCATATGAATAATTACATAAAATAGTAATAGGAAATCTACAAAGTTAAATAATTCGCAAGGCGACTGGTATCTTATATGAAACTACTTCACTAAAGAAAATCATATCCTATAATAGCAAAATAAATACTTGTATTACAAAATGTAAAATGTTTTTCTCTTTCTGGTTTATGGGTCAAAATAATATTATAACATAACATCATGCCTTTCATCCCCGAAGGGGTAGGCACATTATGCCAGTGTACAATGTAACACCCACTTTTCACTATTTATGTCATGAGTCCCATGTAATAGGGGGTGAGCCTATTGCCATATACCGGGCACAGTTTCAGATCCCGTGCTACTATTGAGATTTTTTTAAACCCAGTTATATTTTGCCCGACCCCGAGACGAATCGAACCCGAGACGCACTTGCGTCTTAATCATAAATATATATTAATGAAAAGTGTGTTTGTTTGTTTCTCCTGAAGAATTAAAAACCGTGATGTTACTAATGAAAAATAATTACCTAACCCGGGCACCAAAATTACAAAGCAGTAAAATTACAGCTCGCATTTTTTGCCTCAATTAATTTACTAGAGTAAGGACCGTTTCCATCATCTCTCTTAATTTATAAGGATTCCTTAAGCTACGATAGGTGACCGTCATTTTTGTTTTCACTACCCTATTGGTAAGTGACACCTAACATTTACAAGTAAGGGGTTAATTTAGTTGCTATTTTACGCGAAGTCATTTTTAGCTAAGAGATGGTTTAGAGGTCTTCGGTGAAAACGGCCATACAAGGTGTATAATTAGAAAAATAATAATATTACATATCAATTTCAAAGGAATTTCTTTTTTAATTTACCAGCCTGTATACGCATTATATGATATTTTAAAGTATTACTATGTCTAAACCTACTTTCACAAACATCACATTTATATGGTTTCTCACCAGTGTGTGTACGAATATGATATTTGAAATGATGTTTAAGACTAAAACTATTTTCACAAATATCACATTTATATGGTTTCTCACCAGTGTGTGTACGAATATGATTTTTCAAATTACTTTTTTGACTAAAACAACTATCACAAATATCACATTTATAAAGTCTTTCTTTAATATTATTATGTTTTATGCTATGTCTTTTTATATCATGACTATTGATACCTTTATAATTACAATTTTTACACTTAAAGTCATCATTATTTGTGTTAATTGTACATTGTAAAGGTTCAGAATTATTTTCGTTTTGTAATTCTTTATTTTTATTAATGATATTATTGTTGGTTTCATTAGTTAGGTCTTTCCGTACAGTAATTGTTCGAAGAGCTTTTTTATTTATAGGATTTTTTATTGGTTTTCTTAAATTTACTTCTTCTTGGTCCTTTGCTTGTAAGTTGCGCTTGCTCTTGTCTGGTGTTACTTCTTGGATTTTCTCTTTTTGGATGTCCAACTTCGGTTTTTTTGCAGCAGGTGCGCCTGTTTTGTAGAACACTTCATAAATTACGTTATGAGTGATACACCGGACACAATTGGGATGATGCCAGGGTATGAAAATTAAAAATGTAATTACTAAGTCAGAATTTTTTTTTTTTATTTTCTCGTATAATAAAACAATACTTAGATAAAACGAATCAAAGTTTACGAGTGGGGGCTAAAACGTCATTTCTACGTATAAAATGTTTGAAACGGCGATATATTGATTTCAAATCAATATATCGCCGAAAGTATTCGTTTCTGTAAGAAAACAAAAAATACGTGTCTAATGATTTAAAATAATGTACATTAAATTAAAAATTAGGCATCGATCCTATTATAGACATTGTACTACTACGAGAATTTCTAAAATTCGTATTTTGGGCAGTCCGGAACTTGAACCCGGGACATCTGGCGCGTCTTTTATGCACCTGCCTCTCGATCAACGAGCGTCTAGCAGTGTTTCTTAATATTTTAATGAAATGTTACTCGACTCTCTACCTAGAATTTTCTCTTATTCTCATATTACACACAGACCCGGAACAAAAATGAAAAGAATTATTGTATCTGTGCGTAATTACTGCAGTTTATTTCCAGAGTCACGAAAGGGGACTTATTTTATTATATTAATTAGATATCTCTAGCAAGCACGCAGTAAGCCAACGTACGTACCAAATTTTTGAGCATATCCGGGCGGCGAGTTGTAATTTCTGAGATTGATATGCAACGTGTTCGCAAATTCGCTCCCGTAGAACACCATAAGTTCCGTGAAACGAGGAATTATTTTTATTGTCCTGGAAATAAGTATAAATTAATGTAAACCTATACATATTCATCCCATATAGTTACATAGGTAATAAATAAAGTTTCTTGATCACACGAGGACTTTACAGTGCGAGAATGCGACAAAACTGATGTCTTTTTTTTAAGGGGTGAAAATTATCGAATGACTTCTCCCACCCGGGTGAGGCGGGAGGGAGTGTCAGACTGTTACTGACTAAAAACCACCCCGTTCCTTCTCCTGCACTTCGAGCCGGAGAACTGTCTGGGCGAAGTGTCGCAGGCGAAACTTTTGCCAAGCAGAGAAAGCCAAGTAGGTACTTAATTTAGACTAATGGTCGGTCATGCATCATCATCATCAGCCTGTAAAGGTCCATTGCTGGACTTTGTATGTGCCTCGACATTTACATGATAGGATTTGCTATATCTCCAGTATCTCCACATTTGGCAGGTGAGTTGAAGATCGCATTTCTTTCGCTGTTGCCCGGTCTCTGTAATATGTAGTTCGTCACCCGGTTTACGATACCCGCATGAAGAGTAGGGGTGTTTTTTGGAAATAGCCCACCACAACCTCCCAAAACCGCTGCGCTGTAACTCCTGTGCACCAGGATCTACAGTAGATACAACCATGAAAACACCGGAACACTGAAGTCCGACGCGTCCCAGGGACATGAATAACTGTCTTATAACCTATTATTGGAAGCAAGTATAACAGCTCACACATAGGACCCACGTAGGTTTTAGTCAAATTTCTGTGGTGCCTGGCGTCTGGGCTTCACCCAGTTGTACAGTCTATTTTTGTGCCCTTTAGGCTTAGGTAATTCATTATGTCTCATTCAGTAATTCACCGAGGGAAGTGAAAAACCCCCCCCCGCTCGAGGCGATAGTGAACGGACGTGTTTCGAAAGATCTCCGTGTTAGAAAGCAAAAATTTAATGCAATTTCATCTAGTATACGGTGTTTTTTGCATCATAAGTGTCAAACCTTATCGAATTAGTGAGAGATAAACTATCAACACTAAATAAAATAAACAATTCTAATAAAAAAACATCAAATAACAAAACAAATTGAAGTGAGTGAATGTGAACGTTTGCTTTGTGCGATCAGGCGAGACGACGATAAAGTGACAAAGTGAGGGTGTTTGTAGAAACAAAAACAAAACAGACCATATGATTGTTTATTTTGTCATCAATATCAGTGTGACGGTAGTCGAGTGCTTTAAGCCGCCTGTTAACGAATCGAAGTAATCCGAGTTCGTATCTCAGTAAGGTCTTCACTTTTTGAAATAATAAAGATTTTCTTTGGGCATTTTTTCTTACATACTACACGATACTTGCGACCATAATATAAAATTAAATATGGACAAATCTGTCTCCGATACAAACATTAACGCAATGATGAATACAACTCCGCCAAATTTCATATCCACGCGTAATAAGAGGTTAAGGGATGATGATTTACCGGAGGAGTTCGCTAAATTTAGACAAGAAATGAAGGAAATGTTCTCGTCATTCATTTCTACTCAACAAAGTGAATTGAAAATAATTAAAGATATTCAGATATCAAATAATAACATTGAAACTGCCATCAGTAACCTGTCCCAGCAAAATGACGAATTCCGTAAGAAAATAGAATATCTTGAAGCACAAAGGAGACAGGACCGTGAGTACATTGGCATACTGGAGGACACAATTGAGGACCTACGGAGAAGTAATTGCAAAACTTGCATTGAAATAAGGAATGTCCCAAAAACTCATCACGAAAATAACGCGGATTTGGTGGATATGTTCAAGAATTTGGGTAAGCACCTAAACATTGAAATGGATGTACGTGACCTTAAAGATATTTACCGACTGCCTACTAAGAAGGAAAATATTAAGAATACCCCTATTATTGTCGAGTTGAGCTCCACCATGATTAAGTCTAATGTACTAAAACAAGTGAAGTCGTTTAACAGTCGAAGCGCTGATAAACTGCAGGCGAAACATCTTGGAATAAAGAGTGAATTGGAAGTACCAGTGTTTGTATCAGAACAATTAACACCTAAAAATGCCCGTCTATTTTTCTTGGCTCGAGACCTAGTTAAAGCTAAGAAGTACAAGTTTTGTTGGACCTCATATGGTCGGATCCTGGTCAGAAAGGACGAAAACACTCGTGCGATCGTTATTAGAAGTGAGGCTCAGGTCCACAACATGATGCAAAAGACATGACTTAAAAGCACTGGATTCGGTTTTATTCTAATACTGGAATCTATGTACCCTTTAATAAGTATTTTTATTGATTTTATATATAAGTTCTATAAATTATTTAAAGTTTCAAAATTATACATCTGTAATCGATTTTGCTTCGACCTAACACATCCAGGTACCACTTTATACCTAACCGGTTCCATTCAAAATGCACCTAACACACAACTAACTAACCTAACACAAGCACACACACACTCACCCAACCTAATGCCTAATACATCATTAAATCACACAAATATCTCAACACATAATGCGGTTGATGTCACACAGCTGCCGTGCACTACCTTAAGACAAACGAATGAAATATTGAGAATGGATAATAATTTACATAACTTACAAGAAGTGGATTTTGCTGAAATTGCTAATACAGCAGTACTTAATAATGCAGATTGCTCGTATACACTTACCTATTACACGCCAAACCTATTTGGTACTTGTTTACCATATAACGAGATTGAGAATTTAGAAATACTTTCCTTTCCCCCATAATAAAATTCGATAACTTAAATCAAATTATTAATGACATCGATAATGTCTCTGTATCCAAGTCCGTCACATGTGACGTTGAAGAATGTCACTCGCACATAACCCAAGCGTCATCCGACGGTCTTTTAATAATCACACAAAACATACGCAGTATTAACTGTAATTTTGCGGGTTTTGAGGTGCTTCTACAAAGACTAAACATAGATTGTGACATATTAGTTCTAACAGAATGTTGGCTCCTAGGAGTTTCTGTAATCCCACAACTGGATGGTTATCGATCTTATACCACTAAAACCCATCATAAACAGAATGATGGAGTAGTAGTATACATCAAGAGCACGCTAACGGCGAATGTTCAGGAACCTGAATTTATGGATGGTAACTGTCTTATGACAACAATCGACAGACACACAGCAATTGTTTCTATATACCGATCTCCTTCTATAAAAAATATTGACAACTTCATAAATTCATTAGATAACGTACTATCAAAACTAAATTCGTTCAACAACTTAATATTAATAGGAGATATGAATATACCCATTAACTGCACTAAACTGGATACTTCAGGTGAGAAATATTTGACCACCGCTGCATCGCATGGACTTTTACCAGCGCATTCAGAAATAACCCGTCCTTCTAGCTCCACCTGCCTGGATCACGTATTGCTTAAGACCCGTTCTACCGCAATTACTCTTGTGCCACAGTCATCTTTAACGGATCACTTTCCTGTACTGATTCAATTAAAAAGGCAACCTAAAACTAATTACCATATACGAAAATATAACCAAATCACATTAACTAGAGTGGACAATAAAAACTTATACGAAGAAATTAACAACATAGACATGTACCCCATATACGAATCAAAAAACCCCAATTTCTCTACAGATTACCTAATTACTAATATCCAACGAGCTGTAAATAAAAACACCAAATCCTATTCTGTCTCAAAGCGCAAGAAAATAATTAAGCCTTGGATGACGCCAGGCCTCCTCAGATGCACCAGAAACAGGGACCTCTTACACAAAAAATGCCGTACAACCCCAGACAATATTATCCTTAAAACTACTTACCTCAGATACCGTAACTTCTGTACCAAAATTCTAAAGAAAGTTAAAATTGCATATGAAGAAGGTGAATTAGTCAAGGCAGGGAATAACATTAAACAGCTCTGGAACACTATTAAATCAATTACCAACACAGTTAAACAGAAAACAAATCCAGAGGAACTATTAAATCTTAGAAACTCCACAGAGGATGCCCTTGATGCTATAAATGAACACTTTGTTAATGTTGGCAAATCTTTGGCCGATAAAAGTGCGCAAAACCTCCACTCTTGCGCGTCAACAAATAGATCTTTTGCCCAGGACCACCGTTGGCAATCCTTTGTTTGCGACGGAACCACTGAAAGTGAAGTGACCCACACAATTACGTCTTTAAAATCTAATAGTACTACAGGCTGCGATAATATCTCATCCGACCTATTGAAAAGACACAAAAAGATACTAGCTCCTCCCATTGCGCACATTTTCAATCAATGCTTAGAATATGGTGTTTTCCCGAAGAGTTTGAAATTATCGGTTGTTAGCCCCATTCACAAGGGAGGTGACCGGGATCGTGCTGATAATTACCGACCAATATCCATCCTGCCCTCCCTGTCCAAGGTTTTCGAGAATCTTTTAAACAAGAGATTTACGCGTTACCTTGAGAGCAAGAAGCTGCTCTCTGACGCCCAGTTTGGTTTTCGTAGAAATAGAAGTACTGATGACGCTATCCATAAATTGACTGATTGCCTGGCTACTAACATGGATTCTGGAAAAAAGTGTCTGGCCATCTTTCTGGATCTGGCTAAGGCTTTTGACTCAATCGCGATACCCATCCTTCTACAAAAACTCGAGAGATTCGGTGTAAGAGGGACACAGTTAAAACTCTTTCAGAGCTATCTATCCGAGCGATTCCAGTGCGTCAAAATAGGGAATCGCACTAGCTCGTACCTACCTGTTACATTTGGGGTGCCACAGGGTAGTATCCTAGGCCCTACTCTCTTTCTCGTTTACATAATACGATCTTACCAACCTATCCTTACACCACGGCCAAATAGTCTCCTATGCGGATGACACTGCCCTCATATTTAATGCCGAAACTTGGGATGAGGTATTCAAGGATGCCCAAGCTGGGCTTGACCTGGTGAAGCACTGGCTGAATGTTAACTTACTTACACTGAACAGTGATAAGACCAAGTATTTGACGTTTTTTATGCGTGGTCCACCTAAAGCGCATATCACTAATCAATGTCTCATCCCACACAACTGTTCTGGCCTGGATGGATGTAACTGTGTACCATTAGAGTGTGTAACGCATGTTAAGTATTTGGGCCTTATCATAGATCACAATCTGGCATACAAAGAACATATAAATGCCTTATCAGGTCGTGTGAGAAAACTTTTGTATGTTTTTAAGACATTAAGGCAAGTCGCCGGTGGCCAGATAATAAAACAGGTTTACTCTTCCCTGTGCCAATCTATTATTAACTATGGTATTATTGCCTGGGGTGGAGCTGCCAAAACCACACTGAAAAGTCTTGAGACTGCTCAACGTGCAGTTCTAAAGGTTAGTACGTTTCGAACAATGCGATCTTCAACGAATCTTTTATACAAGTCCTGCGAGGTGCTAACAGTGAGACAACTGTTTATACTTAATATTGTCATGCGAAAGCATGGTGAACTTACCTATGATTCCAAACTAAAAAATAAACGCAGGAAATATGACGTAGCAATCCGCGCTCATCACACTAAAACAGCTTTCATTAGAAAATTTTACGTTTTTCTGGCACCTCTTGTGTATAATAAAATTAACACAGCCATAAACATTTTCAGTCTAAATAAATTTCACTGTAAAAGAGCGGTGAAGGCATTTTTACTGACTTTATCCTATGATGATACTGAAAAACTCATCCAAGTAATGATATAAATCTACTGTATATTGTTGCAGCTGCTGGATGTTTGCACCTTCTCATATTGATTTATACTACGAATTATCAAGCATACACCACAACACACACACACACACACACACACACATACACACACACACATACACACACACACGCACACAGACACACGCACACAAAATAGACAAATTCCTATATATTGGTGATAGCTATACCTTACTTTTCCTTCTCTATCTTTTTAATGTGGTATGTAATTTTATTTTTAACTGGTCTTTGTGATACTCTTAAACGTTTGTTATTGTAATTACTTTTTTTTGGCTATTTATTAAGGCGGGAATTGGGCGCCGCGTGCCGAGATACAGGCTCACGCCTAGTTCGGTCGCGGATGCTCGTTCTGTCAGTTGTAGAATAACTGTTATAAGCATAAGTCATAATGTGAAACAGTAAACTGTAACCACCTTTCTGAATAAATATTATTATTATTATTATTATTATAAATTATCGTTTTTTTTCTTCTCTTATAAGAGTAGATAAAATAACATAACATCACGCCTTTTATCCCCGAAGGGGTAGGCAGAGGTTATGCCACTGTACAATGTAACACCCACTTTTCACTATTTATGTTATGAGTCCCATGTAAGCCTATATTGCCATATACCGGGCACAATTCCAGACTCCGTGCTACTACTGGGTATTTTTTGAAACACCCAGTAATACTTTTACCAGACCCGGGAATCGAACCCGAGACCCCTTGCCCGGCAGTCGCACTTGCGACCACTCGGCCAATGAGGCAGTCAGTCAGTAGATAAAATGTATTTTAGTATTATACTCTAGGTACATACCGATAGTAAAGTTGTCCTTGGTACTGGTAAGCAAGTAAGTTCTGCTCCTTCCAGTTCCGTGCGCAGTTGACGTAACGCATCCAGTTAGAACGGTTCGCGTCTGCCGCGTCCACCACATGGGAACGTTTGTGGTTACGATCGTATATCTAACAAAATTGCATTATACATTATTTATTGTTGCTATTTTCTGTTTTATTGTAATAGGCGTTTGTTATTTTTATGGAATAGGCGTTTGAAACGAGCCGATGGATCTTTTAATGGTAAGCAATCGGCGCCTCCCAAAGTCCCCTGCCATGAACACCCATAACACGGGAGGAGTTACAAATCCGTTGCTGGCTCTTTGGGAGTTAGAGTTGTGAAATTTTCTGTTTAAAACTGTTTTTAGTAGTAATACCGTCTCCATTGGTCGTTCCGTACGGTATGTCAGTATTTTTGTGTCGCCAGCAAGCTGTATCTCATACAATGTGAAGGGAAAATCTCATAAACTGAATTAACAAATAATTACGAGTTAGGGTCATCGTACACAATAAGCACGGCTCCAATCCAGCAACGTCATTGTCATTTATTTATTTATTTAAGCTTCATGCACAAAATGTACATAAGGTGGACTTAATGCCGCAGGCATTTTCTCCCAGTCTGACCTTTGGGTGATGCAGAGAAGAAGCAAGCAACGAATTAATTGAGAAATTAAAATAGATATACTTACATATTTAGTGATAAACATAAAAAAACATCAGTATCCTTACTTCCTTACTAATATTATAAATCTGAAAGTGAGTTTGTTTGTTTGTTTGTTCCACCTTCACGCCGTAACTACTTAACCGATTGCTTTGAATTTTTGCAGACGTAAAGTTAGAAGTCCGGATTAAATAATAGGGTACTTTTTAACCCGGAAAAAAAATGATATTCCCCAGGAAAAACAAAAGTATTGGTATAGATGGCGCTGTGTGTATTGGTATATGTCACATAGGCTACTTTTTATTCTTTTGTAACGCGAGCGAAGCCGCGGGTAAAAGCTAGTAATATATAATGCCTACACACGAGCACAATAAACTATACATACATGCATTTACACATATACACATACATACATACAGTCATACATACATACATAAATACATACATAATTAAAGACTGTGAGTAGTTAGCGTGTTGATTCAGCCAACCTCCCCAAGAGAAGCTCACGTACTTTCTGCTTAAACGATAAACGAGTCGACGCCATCCTGACATCCAGGGGGAGCGCATTCCACAGCAAAAATATAAACTTTAAATCGTATGTCCTATTCCATAATCTATATATATTACTTATACCTATATATTAATCCATTTTTCCCTTGGTCACGGCATCACGCGTGTAAAAAGAATTAATGAAATGGCTGGACCGATTTCATTAATTCTTTTTTGTTGTATTTGTTATTATTATGAGAAGGTTTTTAAGACAGAAACAATCCTGAAAATCGTACGGGAACGGGAGAAAACGGAATTGCGTTTACGAAGTCGCGGTCAGAAACTAGTGTCAATATACCTAAATATGCTGTAAGCGCGACGCGCCGCTTATACAACCTTTTTGTTTTGTTTTCAAAGTAAAAACGCCTTGCCGGAGCCGTGTTTGAGCCGTGCCTATTAGGTGTGGGACGAAACTCACGTAAATATTTTTAATAGTTATTATAAAATCATACATAAGATCATTACATCATAACATCACGCCTTTTATCCCCGAAGGGGTAGGCAGAGGTGCACATTATGCCACTGTACAATGTAACACCCACTTTATGTTATGAGTACCATGTAATAGGGGGTGAGCCTGTTGCCATATACCGGGCACAATTTCAAACTCCATGCTACTAATTTTGAATTTGAGAATTAAAAACCCAGTAATACTTTGCCCGACCCGGGAATCGAACCCGAGACTTCTTGCCCGGCAGTCGCACTTGCGACCACTTGCGACCACCTCGATTATAAAAACATATGAGTTAACCTTTTTCGCTTAATATTTAGCTCTATTAACTTAATATAGATGTTTACCTGCCAACAATACATGGAGTCTACCAGTTGAGTGCGCACTCCACAATACGGACCAAAGCGCACTCCGCGAGGGAGCGTCAGAGTACTGAATACTCCGAGACCAGCGCCTGAACATTATAAATATAATTTATAATCTATACATATAATTAAATTATATTACAAACTCACTTTTATACATAACGTCATGTCGTTTGATCTATGAAGGGGTAGGGAGGGCACATAACCGATTTCCATTATTAACTCTTTAGTTAAAGGTTTTTGAGAGTAGTTGTATGTATATACTTCCTCTACTGACAGTCAGACTGACGGACACTTCAATTTAACCGTTTCAAAAGAGTTGAAGTTAAGCCGGCTGGTAAAGGAACTAAAGCGAATTTAAGTTTGTGACTGAAACTAGTTAAGTACTGACATACCTTTGTGTGAACTTCTTCTGCGGTGATTAATTATTTTTCTATGGCATAAAGTTAAGTAAAAACGCGGGTTACTCACGTGAATATACTGAGAAAAGCTCTACTAGTTTCGAACCACAGAGGGGTTCTTCCTCATGAGCAGCGTGCGCGGTCGCGGCGACGTCGCGCAGCTCACTCTCGTTTTTACTTAATTTAGTATGTCTCACGATAGTTATTATAAAAATATGGCATAAAGTATCCATTGAAATAAATGCTTAGACTTTGAGTGTCTTTACGAAGTTAGTGAGCCTATTACATACCATAAAAGCATTCCAGATTCCATGCTATTTTATCGAGAACAGAAAAAACGCCAATAACACTTTGCTACCCGAGAATCAAACACGAGACTGCTTGCTTAACAGTCGTGCTTGCGGTTAGTCTACCAGCAATAGTCACATAACATTGCACTTTTTAACTTCCGAAGGAGTAAACAGAACTGAACATAATATTACTAGTTCTAAATAAAACATTTCTATTTTGATTTTTTCTGAATCGTCGAACTCAGAAATCGAACCCAACATTCTTTGCGTGGCAATTTGAAAAACAATTACAAAATCTACATTAAAATATACTCTATAATACATACCAGGTATTATTGATGGTGCTAAGTGTAGGAAAACGTGAGGAATAGTGAGTGCGGCGCGAGGAACATAAGGCGGGAAGGGACTTTTGGATGGGACCTAAGGAAAGGAAATGTAGTGATAATTTCTTTCATCTACATCATAGAGCACTCCGGTCCGCCGGTGGCCCGTGTTGCTCTATGATCTACATAAGAGGGATTGTCTTAATCCCCATACTTAGCATGAGGTTAGAGATCGCATATTAAAAGGTTTAGCTTTATTAGAGATCGCTGCTATCCGGTGTCTTTGAAATCAAATGATTATCTAGTCGGTTTTTATAAGTCCCCCACGAGACTACTTTCGCATCACAACAATTTGTGGATCACACAAAAAACTACGGGTGGGGATCGAACCCGCGGTATTTTGCACAGCAGTCATCCAAACACTGCGCAAACCATAGATAGGTACTGTCAAAATGCCCAAAACGAGACATGGGTTTATGATATTGTTGAATTAGTTAAATAGACCATTTAATTAATCTTAATCTCACAATGTTTGAATTGAAAATATAGTAAAATCAATATTGGTCTCTAGTTGTCCAGAGTTTCTGCTCGATACAGAAATTATAGATTTTTTTGAACACTAGGATTGTCCCCTGTGTCGTGTGTGCGTTTACAAACATACAAGTTCACATACACATGACACACAGACCCGGGACAACAATCTGTGGATCACACAAACACAAAGACTGCACGGTTGGTGCGGTGGCTGGGCAACCGGCTGCCGTGCAACGTGTCGCGGGTTCGATTCCCGCACGGAACAACACTTTGTGTGATCCACAAATTGTTGTTCCGGGTCTGGGTGTCATTATGTATGTGAACTTGTATGTTTGTAAACGCACCCACGACACTGGAGAAAATCCTAGTGTGGTTACTCTTTTTTTTTTAAAAAGAGTAACGAATGGAGTTTCTTGCTCGTTCTTCTCCACTCGAATCGACATTTTGGAACGAGCGCCTAGCTTCACTGACGGACAGACTGACAGACTATTATATATCTCATATTTGTTTACGTTTCAAAAGTACCAAATTATGGTCTAATTGAAATAAATGCTTTTGAGTTTGAGTTTTGAGTTTGTGGGGCAACGTTTTATTAAAAAAAAAAAAAAAAAAA